CTACCTAAGAGTGTTGAGGCCCCTCTCTTACCCAAGGAGCTTTCCAGAAACTCAAGTGCTGGTTACTAAAACGTTTTCCCAGGAGTAAGACCCAGGCCATGAAGGAAGCCTATTCTAGCTCCATCCCAAGCAAGAAACAACCCCAAACTAGGGCAGGCTGCAGTCCAAGGAGGTTCCTGTCTCCCTTGGGAAGAAGGTTGGAAGATCTGGGAGCTAGGAGAGACCAGGGCTTCCTTCTGAAGCCTGAAAGGAACTGGTATTTGTAGACTCCTGCAAGTTGAAGCACCAGGTGGACAATCACTCCCCAGACCCCAGCATCACTGGGAACCTTGCTCCCAGAGCACGGTTGGAAGGCAGAGGGCATGAGTCATGTCCTCAGTAGACTGAAATGTCTCCAAGCCTGTCAAGTCCCTGTAGCTGCCTGCCCATCAGGGATTCTCATCCTGCCCACCGTAAAGGTTTATGGTGAGCTCAGAGGCTCTGCCATGGAAAGAAGCCAAGGGAAGAAGCAGACAAATTCATGAGAGCAAGTCGGGCCCCAGGAGGGTTTCAGAGAGGTCAGCAAGGTAGCCAGTTGCTTAGGGTTCCCTTGTCCACCTCTTGACACTTTAGAGGGCCACCCAAGATGGCATATGGGCTGTACAGAAGACAGAAGGGCCGATGTCTTTAAGCCTGGGAAGCCGCTGTTCTTCAGGGACAAAAGGATCTGGGGCTTCATCTGCATACCCCTGGGCCTCCAAAGGTATGGGAAATGCATCTGTTACGGTGACAATAGTAATGTCAATCAAGATATGTATCTAAAAGGATAGCCTGCAAGGACTCCTGAAGAGCCTATGAAGAACACTGTCAAAAACTCTCCTCTTTGGCAGGTAAATACTTCCTGGTGCCAGGTCTTGGGGCTCAGAAGCACCAACCTAGGCAGGTGTCCCATGGGCCTCCACTCCTGTGTCATCAGAGTGGGTCATAAGACTAGAGAAAGGGTCAGTCCTTGTTCTCCAGAGATCTGTTCTTTCTGGGGTTTGGCCCAGTGGACCCCCAAAGATGTTCCAGAACATTCTTTTCCCATCACCCTCCCTTACTTCCTCTTCTCTCTTCCTTCTGCGTTCCCTACACTGAAAATGGAACATGGGGCCTTGTACATGCTAGCTAGCGTTCTACCATGGAGCTCCATCCCCAGCTTGGCTTGGTTCCTAGGTCCTGAAACCCCAGCTGACCAACCAAGCCCAGCCATGGAGGGTATAAAGAAGGAACAGCATCCTAACAGCACCTGCCCTCCCAGGACTGGGGATGTTCCCTCCTTACACAGTTTTCCCCATTCCCCACAAAGGAAAGTAGTGACCCTTGAGATGTCTACAGTTTATTTATTTTACATAGTAAATAGTAGCCTGTGTTTTTAAGGATGATTTCATTTCTGCACAGACCCTGTAATTCATCCTGCTTCCGGGGGGTGTGTCTGGACCTCTGACCAGAGGGTGGGATGTGTGCAGGGGCAGAGGGATCATTAGGAGCCAGGTCATGGCCTGGATGGTGGTGTGCGTGTGGGTTTAATGAGACAACTAAGCAGTCAGACACACCCTGGACCACTCTCCCCAACAGGTAAATAGCAGAGCATCACCAAAATGCTTGAGTGATTCCTGGCTCTCCTGGCTCTCCTGAGTTGGAATGTATGGAAACTTCTAGAAACAGCAGAAGACAATCCAACAGGATGTCTATGGCTATACCACCCTGAATGTGGGTGAGCTCATCTGATCTTGGAATCCACACACAGTCAGACCTGATGAGTACTTGAATGGGAAAATATAGTCAGGGGTCACTGTGCAGAGATTCTTGCTAATAACGCATTTATTTACAGATTTTTAAAAATTGTTATTATTATTTGGAGAGTATAAAAAATATACCGGAGAAGGAGCTGGAGAGACAGCTCAGCAGTTAAGAACACTGGCTGCTCTTCCAGAGGACTCAGGTTCAACTCCCATTACCCGCATGGCGGCTCACAAGTATCTGTAATTCCAGTTCCAGGGGATCTGACCCTTTCACACAGATATACAGGCAGGCAAAACACCAGTGCACATAAAATAATTTTTTAAAGAAAAGAAAATATACTGGCGAAAAGACAGGTCTGGCCAGGAGGACTGAGAGTTTGAGGCTCACTTGAGTCTCAAAAGTAAAATGAAGGGCTGAGGAGATGGTTTAGTGCATAAAGTGCTTGCAGCACAAGCATTAGGACCTGAGTTCAAATCCCCAGAAACCACACGTAGAGCACATGTGTCTGTAATCAAGGCGCTCCTATAGCAGGCACACTGGGAGAAGGGGACTGAAAATGGCTGAGAGGACCTAGCCAGCTGTGCACAGCTGGAAGAAAGCAAGAGACACTGTCTCAAATAACGTGGAGGAAGAAGACAGACTCCCAAGTTTGGCTTCTCACCTCTACCATATCCTGAGACACCTGAGCACACATAAGTGGCGTTCACACACACAGGTGTGCATGTGCACCCTCACACACACTGATTGAAGAGATGATACACGCCAGGTGGCTCTGGTGCACGCCTTTAGTCCCAGCACTAAGGAGGCAGATGCAGGTGGGTCTCTGTGAGTTCGAGGCCAGCCTGGTCTACAGAGTCAGTTTAGGTTTTGCCTGAGGAGTAACACCTAAAATAGATCTCTGACCTCCACTTAACACAGGCACACACCAAAAATTATTATTAATAATAATAATAAGTGAAATACCTCTATATTTAAAAAAAACAACTCCTGATTTACAAAATGAGTTCCAGGATAGCAGAGCTATGTTACACTGAGAAACCCTGCCTCAAAAAAACAAATCCAGATGCAATGGAGGCAGGTTGGAGGTGCTGCTGTCTCCATGACTCGTGGTAACCAGCAAGAGCTTGCCGGCCAGTAGAACAAGAAGCAGAGCGACTTGGTTCAGGGAAATCACGGGGAAGATGGGCTCCTCCCCACAAGCAGAGGACTTGCTGCAGAAGCAGAAAAAGACAAACGAGGAGGGGGAACCCAAGTAGCCTTCTGGCTTCATGTCCAACTCTCCTGCCTACACCTGCAGGCCTGGAGCCAGTCCTACCATGCTCGAGTTTTTTCCTGTAGTGCTCACTGGTCCCAGCCACCGATGGCATTCTCTCTGCCCTGAGCCTGCAACGGTTTCCTTTTGTGCTTCCTTCCCTCAGGGGGTGAGTGTGTGTGTGTGTGTGGGGGGGGTGTTACCCCTCCTAGTGCATTTTATTTCTGTGGGGCACACCTCAAAGTATTAAAGGTAGTTTCATTAAAAAACAAAAACAATGTCTCGAAAAATCAAAAAAAAAAAACAAAAACCAACAACAACAACAACAAAAAAAAACACATAAAAACAAACGCCCATGAAAAAAAAAATGTAATTTTAATGGAAGTCAGAGCTGGTGGTATAAAAAAATCCCCTAGAGGCTGGGCGGTGGTGGCGCACGCCTTTAATCCCAGCACTTGGGAAGCAGAGGCAGGTGGATTTCTGAGTTCCAGGCCAGCCTGGTCTACAGAGTGAGTTCCAGGACAGCCAGGGCTACACAGAAAAACCCTGTCTAGAAAAACAAAAAAATAAATCCCCTAGAGCTTGTTAAATTAAAAAATTCCCAGTTGTTTGTGTTTTGCTTTGTTTTTCAACTTGACATCCGAGAAGAAGAATGTCTAATGGTAAAATGCCTCTATCAGCGTGCCTGTAGGCAAGTCTGTGGGGGTGTTTTCTTGATTGATGGTTGGCATGGGTGGGCCTAGCCTACCAGGTGCAGTGCCACCTCTGGGCAGGTGGTCTTGACTTGTATAAAGAAAGCAGACTAAGCAAGCCATGAAGAGCAAGCCAGTTGGAGGCGGTCCTCCGTGGCCTCTGCATCCGTTCCTGCCCTGACTTCCCTCCATGACGTGTGTAACCTGGGAGTTGTAGGATGAAATCAACCTTTTCTTCTCTGATTCTGTTTTGGTTATGGTGATTTATCACAGCAGTATAAACAAGTCAAAGCAATGTGAATCCAATTGCCAGTTAGAGAAGTGCAGCCTTGGGGAAGGGGTGTCTTCTCTCAAACAAACAGAACGCCCCTGTTGTGCTGTCCCCATGGTGTCCCTTCAGCTTACCCCCCTTTGCCCAGCCATCCTTGCCCCTGCCTTTAGTATACTTGTGGATTGTAAACCCTGCCTAACTGCACTCTGACTTTGAAAGTCAGTCTACCAGTTTCTAAGCCACACTTCCCAAGCCCACGTCTTCCTTTCTGTCTCCTTTACCCACATCTAGTTCTGGCCTTTGACCTCTCCCCCCGGACCTGGTTGTCACCCCAATGTCAGCAGATACTCTTACACTCCCATTAACCCTGCACATTGCTGCCAAGTTCACCTTAGGGTACCTCTCTGATGCTGTCCCTGCTGGTGAGCAGAGTCCAAACCAGCTGCTTCATCCTCCTCCAGATGCTGCTATGCCCTGCAAGTGACTCCATTTGTCACTGACTGGGTGGACATGCAGGGGCTAGAGGAGGATGCCAGCAGATCTTCCTATCTAGATGCAAGGCAGGGCACTACCTCTGTAAAGATACAAGCCCAGCATGCACAGGGCCCTGGGTTCTGCAGTCCTGGCCATAGTCAGCTGGCATTCACAGAACAAAGCCACCACTCTCTTCCCCCCAGCCTCCTGAGGAGAGAGGCCCTGCAATCACCTCCCCTTCATAGCCTCTGAACTACTTACAAGTCAATAGCACTTCTCAGCACTTTTTGTGGTTTTGGATATGAGCTAATGAGATGGCAGATGACAGGTGACAGAACTGTCACCTGCTTTAGTGGGGATGCTAAACACTCAGTGAGCCTGGGCATCAGTTTTACTGGATGGGAAGTCAGGAAACTGGGGCTTTCCTACTGTGACTTTCGGGGAGGGGTGGCTCTCTCCGTGTCCCCAACTCTACTACCCTAAGAAGTCAGATGGCTGGGCTCAGCATCCCACCTGTAACCCACTCTCGTTGCCTTTTTACCTCCAGGCTTTGAACCAGTATGGCTGAACCCCGCCAGGAGTTTGACACAATGGAAGACCATGCCGGAGATTACACTGTGCTCCAAGACCAAGAAGGAGACATAGACCATGGCTTAAAAGGTCAGTGGGCGGGCAGTGGACTCCAGTCTGTGTTTGCCTCAGCAGGGGCTGGCAAGAGGGGTTCAAATACGAGATTGTAAAGGACTTGTTCCTACCTTATAGCACTAGAGCATCAGGAGAGGGATGTCTCATTAATTCGAATGGACTAAGAAAAGTAAAAACGTGAGAGTGTTGAATATTCACCTCCCCAGACAGCTTAGCAGAGCGAGGGAGAGGCTGTTACTCTCAGCTCTACAGGAGCCTCTCTGAGTTCTTAGCTACACAAACCTGGCCATCTGGACTCTGTCAGGCAAGAGTATGTTATGCTGGGATTCTGAGCATATCCTCATTAATGAACTGCATCAAGTTGGGTAAGGCATGTCGCCACTGTCCAGTAATTCCAGCATTCAAAAGACAGTGGCAGGGGGATTGCTGCAAGTTCAAAGCCAGCCTGGTTTGTAGAATGAGTTTGAATTCAGCTAGGACTACATAGAGAGATGCTGTCTCAGACTGTCTTAGGGCTAGAGAGATGGCTCAGTGGTAAGAGCACTTGCTGCTCTTCTAGGGGACCTAAGTTTGGTTCCCAGCACCCACGTCAGTCAGCCCACAGAATCTGTTAACTCCAGTGTTGGGAAACTAACACCCTACACCTACATTGCATTCGTGGATTTGCATACATATGCATAAATAAAAATAACAGATGTAAATTTTTAAAGCACTTCTCAGATTTAGTTTAATTAATTAAAATTGCATTGGGCTCTGCAGTCTATAATGTAGTCTTCTGCCTATGTTAATCTGGCCTCAAACTCTTTCAAACTCCTTCAAACTCACTGGTGGTCCATTTCACTGTGTGCATGTGTGCAGAAGCTGTGGGAGTGCTCAGGGACACACACACACACACAGAGAGAGAGAGAGAGAGAGAGAGAGAGAGAGAGAGAGAGAGAGAACTGAAATCGCTGATTCTTAGAAGATGCTGTAAAACAGAAGTGTCCTGTCCTACCTAGAACTGTGCTCCCCAGAGAAGCCAAAGACACCTAAGAGATTCTCATCAAATTAAGTCTTGCTATCGAGGGTTTAGGATGAGCTGTTGTAGGTGTGGAATGACAGCTTTGAGTTGGCAGGAGGTATCACAGTAGCAACAACAGCTCAGATAAGTGAGTGACACAAGACTGTTTTGAAGAATGACAATAATGACCAGAGACTACACACTGAATACAGTGTCTAAGGGGATGCTAAACGCAGGACTATGAGCAGATGCAACCAGAAAGCCTGTGGACTCGGGGAAGTGGTCACACAGGCTCAGGAATTAAAAGGCGCTGATGTATAACACTTTCCAGGCCTTTGAAGGGGGCTTCTTCTCCTTCTTCTCTTCCTCCGAGAATAATGTAAATGAGGGGGATGGGAGTCCATAGTGAGTTTGAGGCCAGCCTGGGAGACATGAGACACTGTAATAAAACAAAAGAAAATATGAAAAGGGCCCTTCATTGCCTGTGCTCTGAAGGAGGCTGGGAGGTGTAGACTTGAATCCCATTTGCCTTTCTTCTTTGTGTTCTGCTTTGTATATAAAACCAGCTGCCCCTCCACCTCCCTAGAAGCCCAGAATCTCACTGTTGCCCAAGGGACAGCCTTCATCTCCACTGAATGTCCCAGCCACACTGCCACCTAGCAAGTACCAGCCATGCTCAGTGCTCCCTGCCCATTGATTTTTCATGGCCCTGACCAGACTTTATATGACTTTCTGTGGCTCCCTGAGGACCTCACGCCATCTCCTCTAATCGAAATCTCCTTGACACAATCCCTAGCAGCTTTGTGACTTGAACATGCTCCCAGCTTTGTCCAGTCATCACCACGGATGGAGAGTTTGTTTGTTTGTTTGTTGTTTGTTTGTTTGAAAGACGTCTCTCTACATAGCCCTAACTATCCTGGAACTCACTATGTACGCCTAGCTAGCCTCAAACTCGTGGATCTGCCTGCCTCTGTCTCCTGAGTGCTGGCATTAAAAGCATCAGCCCCACACCCATCCCAAGGTGTTACAGCCTGGCCCTCAGGCCAATAGCCTCTCACCTATGTGTGTCCAGCCTCACACACGCTGTACCTGAGAATGGTTCTCGCTCTTCACATGGTTGAGAAAACCAGCCCTCATGAGTGTATGGCTTCCATCTTCAAGGGGTCTCATGAGTAAGAAAGATGTGGCCTCCTATGTTGGCACAGCTCTGTCCTGAATTCTATCAGAATTCTGTTTTCAAGAACAGCAGATGGAATGGGCTCCAGGTGACATACTCCCTCCACTCTCTGCCAGACATTGGTGTTTGTTAGGGTTTTATTTCTGTGAAGAGACACCACGACCATAGCAACTCTTATAAAAGGAAGCATTTAACTGGGACTGACAGTTCAGAAGTTTTTAGCCCATTGTTATCATGGTGGGAAGCATGGTGGCATGCAGGCAGACCTGGTGCTGGAGAGGGAGCTGAGAGTTCTACATCTGGATCAGAAAGTAGCAAGAAATGACAGTGACATACTGGCCAGACCTCAGAGCCTGCCCCACAGTAACACTCTTCCTCCAATAAAGCTACACCTACTCCAACAAGGCCACACCTCCTGAATGTGCCACTCCCTATGGGGCTACTTTCATTCAAACCACCACTTGGGGTGTTAATCTGCTGTGGAGCATGAGGCTATACTGGACTTCTCCCCATGGCCAGAACCCATTTGTCCCTTTGATACAATGGGCAGCTGGCTCTTGGAGCCTCTGGAGAGTCCCAGTAAACATCTGCACAGTAACAAAAATAAAGAAAAAAGAACCTCATACATTCTTACTGATACACAGAGCTACCCTAAAAGCTCTTCAACCAACATGTCTTAGGGTTTCCATAGTTGTGAAGAGACACCATGACCAAGGCAACTCTTAGAAAGGACAGCATTTAATTGGGGCTGGTTTACAGGTTCTGAGGTTCAGTCCATTATCATCATGGTAAGAAGCATGGCAGTGTCCAGACAGTCACAGCTCTGGAATAGCTGAGAGTTCTACATCTCGTTCCAAAGGCAAACAGAAAGACTGACTCGAAAGCAGCTAGGAGGAGGGACTCTCAAAGCCCACCCCCATAGTGACACACTTCCTCCAACAAGGCCACACCTACTCCAAGGCCACACCTCCTAATAGCTACTTCCTGGACCAAGCAAATTCAAACCACCACACAAGGTGATGTAAACACCACCAGGATAGCCACCTCCCACTGTGGGTCTCACATGCTGGGCAAAGAGAATTACACCAGCTTCGAGCACAGCCATGCTAACAAAGACCTAGGGGAGTTAGAGAAGAAATTTCTTCAGTCAATACCGGCATGAAAGGGAAGTTAATGAGTTCACTGAGCTGAGCCATGAAGAGCTGAGGCTGAGAGGAAGACAAGTGAGGGCTTTCTGCTCACACAGGAGCAGGCTTTCCAGACCCATTCTCAGGTTGTCAATATAAGGGCCTTTGCCTCAGCTGAACCTGGGTTATATCTTCATGCCAGACGGTGGTGTTGCACGCCTTTAATCCCTCCAAACAGGAGGCAGAGGCAAGCTGATCTCTGTGAGTTCGAGGCCAGCATGGTCTACTGAGTGAGTTCCAGGACAGCCAGGTCTACACAGAGAAACCCTGTCTCACCCACATCCTCATTCAGGGACCCCAAGAGTGGAACATAGTTGTGTTGAGAGTGCTGGTCCCTTCATGGTTTGATCATCAGGCTACAGTACCCACACTAAAGAGATTGCAGCTCAATAGGACACAACTCCCAGGTTCCTCTTGAGGTCTGAGGGCTCACTGTATATGTTCCAGAACCTACCCCACAGCACCCCACCGATGATGGATCGGAGGAACCAGGGTCGGAGACCTCCGATGCTAAGAGCACTCCAACTGCTGAAGGTGGGGCCTCTCTACTCCCACCACTCCCTTCATCTTATGCTTACCTTGCTTTGAGCCTCCCCTCCCAGCTGCGCGCTACTCACTATGGCTGCGGCTGCGCACTGCGTGCCACCCTCCCGGTTGCACTCGCTGCTTCCTATCCTGTTGGCTGAGATGCGCTTGCTCAGTGCTTTGCAGAGCAGTGGACGCTGGGACCTGCTTCTATGCCTGGCTCAACAGTGTGCGACTTGAGCATCATTATCCTGTGTGTTGCCCCGAATGGTCCATGCTTGGAGAAGCTAGTCTGTGTGGCACAGCGGGGCTCACACATGGCCCAATAGGGTTTCCATCCTTTATCTGCTACCCTTCATGACCCCCTCAGAAGCCTCCACCTTACTTTTCTTTCAAGGATTCAAGGCCCAGAATGTTCATTTGGCTGAGGAGGGGGGCAGGTCAGACTTCTCCCTGCTCATCTGTTAGGAGCGGGTGTTGGTGTGGCATCTTCATTTCTTGGGCTCTGGACTTTGGGCATGGAGTATGTTTCATCTCTTGGAGTACGTTTCATATCTGTTCACTCCAGATACATGGCGTCTGGGTTGTCGTGAAGCTCCTTGTCTTTTTCCTGAAGCGCTCCCTGTCTTGCTTCCCGTGTGTGTTAGCTATACTATCACTTTCGGCTGCTGGAACCCAAAAGCTCCACCAACTGAAGAGGCTTTTTTGCCTTGCAATCATAAGATACCTGGACATGGGCACAGATCCCTAATGCCATTCGTGTGCTTCTGTATTTGTCGTCTGCCATCCTAAGTGTTTGGACTGTTGCCTCATTGTTGAAGGATGGCTGCACTCCCAAACACCACTATCTGCCTTGGAACAAGAACCATGGCTGGTGAGCTAGCTCAGAGGATACAGGTGTTTACCATGCAAGCCCGGGGAACTGAGTTCAATCCCCAGAACCTTTGTAAAGGAGGAAGGAGAGAACCGACTCCACAAAGTTGTCCTGTTAAGTTTCCACACATTGTGATGGCATGTGTCCACAGAGACATATTATGCACATGTTCCATAATAATGATTGAAAGCTGGGCGGTGGTGGCGCATCCCTTTAATCCCAGCCCTTGGGAGGCAGAGGCAGGAGGATCACTGATTGTGAGACTAGCCTGGTCTACAGAGAGGATTCCAGGACAGTCAGGGCTACACAGAGAAACCCTGTCTAAAAATAATAATATAATAATAATAAGAAGAAGAAGAAGAAGAAGAAGAAGGAGTGAATGAATGAAATTTTTTTAAAAAAGCAATCAAAAACAGTGCAAGACAAAGTTGCCAAAAGGACCCTGAAGCCAGATGTGTTGCCAGAATTAAATCAAGAGCTTTCTATTATAAGTTCCTCCTGGAAGTTTCCACTTTCATCCACAGGCCAGACCTGGGTCTCTGGCCACCATGGGACCGCAAGACTGTCTCCACCTTGCTTTTCAACCCACTAAGTAGAAGAAATCAAGGAAAAGGGACATGGAGAATGGCTTTTAACTGACCATCCAGAGCGTCCGTCCGTCCGTCTCTCCAGCCTTACAAGGAGGTTGGAGCTTCCACCCTGAGCCCTTTCTGCAGCCCTGAACGTGGCTTGGGAGTTCTGTTACAGAATGAGAATTTAGCCAAGACATCTCCTCAGCCAGCATCTGCCTTTGGATAAATCCAGAACATGGCTGTCAAGCTCCTGCCAATTATTCAGCATGCTGGCTCATCCCTGGAGAATGCAGGTGGCATGCCCCTTAGCCTGGTGAGAACCTCCTGGCCAGATTTCCTTTGCCCTTCTGAAAACCGGTATTGCAAGACACTTCCTGCTCATCCTGTTAGAACAGTTCTGGAAGCTGTCTGCCACCCTGAGAAAACCCTGGAGCCAAAGCCAGTGCTGGCTTCCCAAACGTGGCTTTCAGTACTCTGTCACCGTTGTCCAGGAAGAAACAACCCCACTCGTGCAGTCTGGACCTGTACATGCATGGGCCCCCACATGCCTCACTCACCCTCAGGGATGGAGGAAGGAGGCAGGGGCTAAGCTCCCCAGCTGTTTTATCTGCACCAGACAGGATCAGAATGAAAATAACCTTTGGGGCTGGTGAGATGGCTCAGTGGTTAAGAGCACTGACTGCTCTTCCAGAGGTCATGAGTTCAAATCCCAGCAACCACATGGTGGCTCACAACCATCTGCAATGAGATCTGATGCCCTCTTGTGGGGTGTCTGAAGACAGCTACAGTGTACTTATAATAAATAAATAAATAAAGTTTAAAAAAAAAAAAAAAAAAAGAAAATAACCTTTGTGGACTAGCTGTGTGGAATTCCGGGAATCCCTTGAAACCGGCCACTCCTTGGGTGTGCCTCACATACCTAGTGGAAAGGCAGAGGGTTCCGGAGGAGCTAAAGTGCTTGCCTTGAAAAGATGCCCTCAGTTCCTGGCCTGTGATCTCTATCTCTTGCCTCATCAAGGAAACTGGATCTGGCCTGGTTGTTGCCACATAAGGAGCTCTGTGCCTTTTAATTGGATGTGAGGAGGTTGGGGGCAGGGAGCTAGAAGTAGTAGAAGTTTTAAAGGTCACCTAGAGATGGCACTCTTGTTCTATACATGTGGAAACAAAGGCTGAGATGACAGAGGGCTTACTCAAAACCCCACAGAAAAACCCAGGCTCAGTCTCTTTCTCAGCTTCTTCACGCTGCCTGAGTCCCAGCCTCGGCCCCCTGCATCGCGGTGAGGCTCACACAGCTGCCTTCAGGATTTCAACCCCCAGGAGTCAGGCTGTGTCCCTTGTAGTACTTACAGGACACCTCTATAGGCTTCCCAGGCAGGGGGTACTGTTAGTGTGCTTCCTGGGGAGAAGGGCAGAAGGACTGTGGCTCTGCTTTGAGCTGGCTTTTCTTGCATGTGGCTCTCAGGCCCCCCTCCCTGCACTGCCCCTGCATAAGCAGGAGGGTGACTATTGGTGGTTTCCAGACGTGACTGCGCCCCTAGTGGATGAGAGAGCTACCGACAAGCAGGCCGCTGCCCAGCCCCACACGGAGATCCCAGAAGGAACCACAGGTGAGGTTGAGCCGCGGGGCTGCCAGCACCCAGCTGACCTGCCGTGGACAGGTCATCCTCCTAGCGAGGCGCAGCAGATGAGTAAGTGGCTCTGGCTCCTGGGGATTCTGGCTACTTAGCACCGGCTGCCTTGGAGTCTGCTTCCCTCAAGGCTACAGAGTCCTCTGATTCCTGCCAGCCCCACCTGTCAATGTGCCTATTAGAAAGGTTCTCAACAGGGTTCTCTGGGGAAGGCTTTTTGCCTTCCTCACACTTTCTCCAGTTCCAGCTACAAGAAGTAGCAGGTCACCTTTAGAGGACAGTTTACCCCCAGGAGCACCAAGCATGCTACAGTGACTACATAACTGGATCCTTTAAGGTCTAATGGGATGGAGTTCTGAAACGTGACCTCACATCCATCTTTAGGGCTGTGCCACCTTCCAACCCTGTCTATGTAGTCTGTTCCACCTGTGTGGACGATGAGGAATTAGTCAGACAGCGAAGCAACAGAGAGAGCCCGGGGCTCCAGTGCGCTCGGTCCTTCATAAGTCATCCTGTGCAAGGGCCCTGGGCAAGAATCATCACAGCCCAGAGCACCTGGTACCCTTTCCTTTGTGTTGTCCTCCATGGACTCAAACCCCAGCAGTTAGCAGGATGAACCTGAGTTGCCCAGTTACCTACTGAGAGATGCCTGGTCACTGCAGTGGAGATGGGAATGCCCCTCCCTGAGGAGAGCCTCTGCAACTGTGCCAGTCACTCCTTTCTTTACGGTGACCAAATGTCTGACTAAGGCAACTTAAGGAAGGAAGGGTCTGTTAGGGCCCATGGTTTGAGGGGATGGACTCCATGTGACAGGGAAGGCTCAGTGGCAGTCACATCTGCAGTCAGGAAGCAGACAGCACTGAACACTGGTGCTCAGCTGGCTCTCTCCTTTCTCCCCAGGATCCCAGCCCATGGGATGGTGATACCCATATTCAGGGTAGGTCTTCCCTCCTCAGTTAAATCTTTCTGTGAATACCCTGGAAGACGTGCCCAGAGGTGTATCCCCTAGGTGGTTCCAACTCCAGCAAGTTGACAATGAAGAGCAAGCACCCTAGGAACCTATAGCTTTCAAAATGTGTTTCTGCTTTGCAAAGTGATTTTCTGGCAGTAATGGCTTCTGAGACAGATGATTAGATGTTTTTAAAGGCCTGCCTCAGCCTTGAGCATGAAGGATGCTTGAAGGCCATAGGATACCTTACAGGGTGAGGTCATGGGTCACATGATTCTTTTTGTCTCTGGCTATTCTTTCAAGGTTGGTTTTTTTTTTTAGATTTATTTATTTTATGTAAACAAGTACACTGTAGCTGTCTTAAGACACACCAGAAGAGAGCATCGGATCCCATTACAGATGGTTGTGAGCCACCATGTGGTTGCTGGGAATTGAACTTAGAACCTTTGGAAGAATAGTCAGTGTTCTTAGCCATTTAGCCATCTTTCCAGCCTTTCAGAGTTTTGTCATTCAAGAAGTTTGTCCTCCATCTGGGATGAAAACTCTAGACCTTCCTACCTCTCCTGGGTAATCAGAAATGCTTTATAGTCGTCATGGTCTCAAAACAGGCAGCAAAGGCTGAGATGTGGCCCACTTACTTGATGGAGTGCCTGGTTTAACATACGTGATTCCCAGGGCATTCCCCACCATGCTATAAACTGAGTGTGATGAGAGGGAAGAAAACCTCACAGCTTATAAATGCTCATCCAAAGGGCCAGTCTGATGTGACAGTCAGGCCCACAGCCTTGTTCTAAACCAGCCGCTGCTCTGAGCTAGTGTGGGGCGTGGGGTGGGGGGTAGGTAAGAGGAGGCAGTGGCTGCTTAGCATTCTCTCAAGGAGCTTAGAGGCTACCCTTTCTCTCATGGAGCATCTCTTGAGTGTCCAGACATCTGACAGGGTTGACTCAGTTCAGGGGCTCAGAGGCTTCATAGCTGTTTGGTCCTGTGGCCTTGGACAGAGCACTGTGGTAGCTGCCTGTGGTGAAGGAAGCTCTTGGCAGATAGAGAGCTGATAGGAGGGTAGCATTGGGTGTGATTTCTCCTTCCTTCCTCTGTGTTTGTTCATTACTGCCCCAACCCCCAGCCCATGGGATGGTACTACCACATTCAAGATAGGTCTCCTTGTCAGCTAATTCTATCTATATGTATCTTCAGACATAGCCACAAGTGGACCGCAACAGCCCCTAGGTGATTCTAGATCCAGTCAAGTTGACTGTGAAGATTAGCTACCACAGAGACCTTTCTTGAGTCCTTCAGGTTCTCCCCTTTCAGTTCCTAGCTCCTACTTCCGTAAAGATGGATTCCTCTGCGTCGGATTCTGGAGGATGTGACATCCCTCCTCTTAGGGACCCAGCTAGCGCATCACCTCTGTGGAAGGTGACTCATTCCCACTAGTAGCCCATTAGGCATGATCTAAGATGTCCCAATGCCATCTCTGACCCATGCCCACAATTCCATGGTGAAGATGTCTGCAACCTTGGCTGCACAGCTTGCTGGCTGGCTTACAAGGCACCTTTGCTCAGCTACCATAGAAGGGCCAGCCCTTCCCGTATCCTGTTGTGTTCCCAGGCAGGACCCTGACTACCGTTCAGCAGATCCCAAGCCAGAGGAAACAGAAGCCAAGGGTCTCTCTGGGTGATGCTTTCAAGACCATGGGGCCAAGCTATACATGCCAGCACGTGACTGTTATCCTAGCATTTGGTAGGCTAAGCTGGAAGGATCAAGAGTTCAAGGCCTGCCGAGTTACAGAGTGAGTGCAAAGCCTGTATGGGCTGCATAGAAAGACTCTGTGGAGCCACTCCAGCCCCAGGCCACTCACCACTTGGTAGTTTTAGAGTTGATAAGGTTCCCAGCTGTTGATGGAGTTAGGGCCTCACCTTGTACTTTTTGAGCACATGTTTGCTACTTCTTGGAACTCAGTAAAGCTGCTCAAGGATGCTGTGTGGCTCTACCTTGGGAGGCCTGTCTCCCTAGAGAGCAGGGAACTTTGTGCCTCCCTGAAAAGGCTCCCCTGGGAATATTCAAAGCCAGTAGAGATACCAATTCCAGCAGTGCCTTCTGCCCTGCCCCATTGAGATTTTTGATTTCCCCATACCCCTTGCTGAGTTCAGACATGTTTCCACCCCCCACCATTTCTGCCTCACATCAGGGACGGGAAGGATATCACAATACTGCAGTAGCGCGGGAAGACGAATACACTCTCTTAGTGCCGGGGCAGGGGTGGAGTTCCAGAATGCCTCTTTATGACGGCTAAGGACTCCATGACTGCTGAGTTGGATCTGCTGTCGCTCTGAGTCTGTCTTCCATTTCCTTAACCTTGCTCAGACCAAATCCACACATGGACTTTGCCTTCCCGGCAGTTGACACAGTGCATGGCCAGTGCTGTGTTATCTGACAAGGAACTGTCACCAGAAAAGCAGCACAAGAGACTTAGATGTGTCGGAGCTGATAACCCAGTAGGTGGAGAGCGTCTAAATTCACTGCCATCTCCCTGCAGCCCCACATCAGATAGCCATCTGGCTAGATGTGACATGCAGTGACTCTAAGCTCTTTCCTCGTGCTCACCATGGCAAGTGTGCTGGTTGGCAGAGACTGACCAACTCGGTCTAGAGACAAGTCTGATGCCCCAGCTGGCTCTGTGTGAATGTTTCTGGAAGGTAGCAGCCTCTGGTGCTCCTCAAGGCCTTGAGGTCCGCATGGGCTGGCGAGCTTTATAACCCGCCCTCCTCTAGACTAGTGTGTGTGTCTTCCAGTTGCTGGGCCCTGATTTCCACTTGTTCTTGAGATTAAAGCTTACTGACTTGGGTCCTGCTCATGTGGTCAGGAATTTCCTCAGCCTCCTATGTTTAAGGTAATTGTTGGCTTCTTAAATAGAACCCAAAGGCCCCCCAAAAGCTGTCTGTTGGCTCTGTTGGACTCGCTCCAGCCAGGTAGTGCTAGTTTTAGGCATGGTGTGCAGCAAGGTTTGAAGAGAAGAAGCGTAGCAGCTTGGGCACCTTCTCCACGTCACCAGGCCCTCACCATCCTCCTACAAACCCACAACCCTCCTTAAGGTTCCCAATAAGGAAACAGAGGTTCAGAGAGGATCCTGTGTACACATAATCAAGCATAGTCTCTTCCTGAACCCCAGGCCTCCCAAAGTGCTGTCCAGGACAGGCAGTGCCACTATGACTCGTCTGTGACCCCCATAAGTCCTGGTATCTTTGTGGAGCCAGGCAAGGCAGCAGGACCCTAGACCTCTATGGAAAAGCTCTTTCCTCCTAGGTCGCCATCACCTGGAAGGTATGTGAGTGCTGCAGATTTTGTTTAGGCTTTTCTCGTCACCACTGTCCCTAGCTGTGGCCATGGCAGAGGAGCAGAGCACTGCAGCTGGCCCTGCAGGATGCACATGTGCACACATTTCATGTGAGGAACACAGGTACGGAGAGCCTGGGTTGCAGCAAGAAGTAACAGTCTCCTTTCTGTCCTCTCCCTTTGCTGCCTCGGACCAGCTGAAGAAGCAGGCATCGGAGACACCCCGAACCTGGAGGACCAAGCAGCTGGGCACGTGACTGAAGGTTGGTGGCCCAAATCCACTCTAAGACCCAGAGACGGGGAGGGGGGATAGGGGCACTCAGCAGGCTCCTCCTTGAAAAGACATCTTAGGCCTGGGTCCTAATGTTCAAGTCCAGGGGACCTAAGGGAGTTGCCTGTTCAAAGCTGGGCTCTGTAGACACAGAGTTTTCTAATACCATCCCGGTTCCTTCTCAGGATGTGGGGAGTCCTGAAGGAAACAGGTCTACAGGTCTCACCTAGCCTGGGAATGAGCCCAGTGGGTGATGCTCCCACAGGGTCCCTCCTCTGGCCTGTCAGTCACATTACCACCAAGCTTTCTTCTCTGCAGTCTTCACACCTTATTATAAATTTCTTCTCAGAAACCAAATTGTTGTGTTCAAGTCAAGTAGCTTTTCTTTTTGTTTGTTTGTTTTTTGTTTTTTTGAGACAGTGTTTCTCTGTGTAGCCCTGGCTGTCCTGGAACTCACTCTGTGGACCAGGCTGGCCTCGAACTCAGAAATCCGCCTTCCTCTGCCTCCCAAGTGCTGGGATTAAAGGCGTGTGCCACCGCTGCCTGGTTACAGATACACTTTTTTAAAAGACCTTTTTTTTTTTTTTTTTTTTTAACTTTAGAGTCTTAGGAGCAGGAAATGGAGATCTCTGACATAGGTAGAGCAGGAGGTGGCTTTGTTTTCTTTCATTCTTCTGGATAATGAACTCGAGAGTGTCCTGTTTAGCAGCCAGGCCTCTGGATGGCAGGGGAGCTGGGAGGTGGTGTCCTTTGCTCAATAAAGTGATAAGGAATTTGTCTTTTGCTTAGCAGTGCTGGCTGCCAGGAAGGGCTCTGACCCATTGACCTCCAGCAGAGTTTGTCAGCCTTTAGGTGACTTGGACACTAGGCTCCTGAGGAAGACTTGAGGGAGACATTTGGTCATGGTCCAGAGTTTACCTGAGACTTACTTTCCTTACCCCCCTCCACCACTCCCAGTGAGTCTGTATTTAAAGGAGGCTTTTGCTTTGAGATAAGATTCCCAGATAGCCAGAGCTGGCTTCCCTTTGTATCCAAGGATGACCTTGACCTTTGACCCCCCTACTTCCACCTTCTCTGGAATGCTGAGGTTACAGGTATGTGCTGCCACACCCGGTTTTTGTGGTTCAATCAAACTCAGAGCTTCCTGTGTGCCAGGCAAGCATTCCAATAACCGAGCTGCATCCTGGCCCCTGCTTCATATTTACTGAGTACTTTACAGTAACTTGGGAGCCAGGTAGATGGCCCTCCCGGCCCAGCTCCTCCTTCTATGAGTTTTAATTATGCTAAGGTTCCTCACCAGTTTGCACACACAGCGAAGTATGTATGTTTGCTGTACATGTTTACTGTGTATGTTTATTGCCTTGTTTCAACTTAAATGGACTCTTTGAAGATATTACAGTATATCAGACTATAAGACACCCCAGTCTAAAGTAATTTCTAGGGAGTCTTTTCTTTGTTTTTTTTGTTATTGTTTTTTTTCTTGTTTGTTTGTTTGTTTTCTTTTTAAGGGATTTTTTAAATGTATGAATATCTGCATTTACACCTGTCAGAAGAGGGCATCAGATCCCATTACAGATGGTTGTGAGCCACCTAATGTGGGTGCTGGGAATTGAACTCAGGACCTCTGGATGAGCAGCCAGCACTCTTAACCGCTAGGCCATCTCTCCAGTCCTGTTTGTTTTCAAGACAGCGTTTTTCTGTGTATCGATGACTATCCTGGAGCTCTCTCTGTAAACCAGGGCTAGCCTCAGAGATAGGCCTGCCTCTGCCTCCCAAGTACGTACCACCACCCAGCCTATGGAGCATTTTCTTTTAAGTAGTAGAGGCCCAAATCCATTGGATGACATCATGGCCCATAGCTGGCCTGGCCTCTGGCCCATGAGCCAGCTGGTTCTCAGTAGCCCAAACCCATGTGGGTTTTATCTTGAAACAGACCAAAGGCCTCAATAAGTTACCTGAGAAGGAGCAGAAATTGATGTTTTTTCCAAAGACTAGCTGGTGTATGTGGAATGCATTCATTGATCAGCTACTATGTGACAGCCTTGATTCTGGGACCATAAACCAATGTAACTGTGAACTCAACCTGCCACAAGGAAGGAGGGGCCAGGGCAGAATTGGGTCCCTTGTTGGTGAGCCAGCTATGCTGAATCTCACTGGGTTAGAGACAGAGTTACAGTATATGTATTACTTATGTATGTCCGGAGTTACACACATGTGCAGGTACACATGTTCTCCTCTCTCCTTCCCACCCTATATCCAGTTTTTATATCCCCAAGGCCTTTCTGATTATTGGTTTTGTCAAAGAAAATTGGGGAGATGATTGGGATATTTTGTGGGGACCAGGTAGGATGTTCAGAAAATTCAGTTATGGAAGTGTGGTGGCACATGCCTGTAACCTCAGCACTTGGAAGTACAGGTAGGAGGATCAGGAATTCAAGGTCATCCCTGGCCACACAGTGAGTTTAAGGCCAGCCTCAGGTTCAGGAGAGGCTATCACAAGCAAGCAGTCAAACAGAACTAGAAGATGCTTATTAAGGACCTCAAAGCGGACTCCCCGCCCCACCCCTCAGCATCCTCAGTGGACAGTCAAATACCCTAGAGAGGGTTTCACATGGATATCACTTGACTGATCCAGGAAAAAAAAAAACAACAACAATATGCTTAGATTCGCTGAGTTGTTGAATACTGTGCTGACTGAGTAGTCAGAGCAGGAGTCCCAGTGCTCCTGCCTCACCTGAGGCAAAAGGCAGGCCTTGAAGGATGACCACAGAGCTATAAATGTGCTGCCTGCCGTTCCATGTACAGGAATCGTAAGACAGGCCTCTTATCCAAGGCTCCATCCATTCTGTCATAGCACGAGCATTTTTCAAATCTGTCAGAACAGGGCTAAAGGCTGGGTGATTTATGACACCTGCTGGTTTTACCTGCTCAGAGAGAAGAGAGAGACAGACTGACTGACAGAGACAGAGATAGACAGAGACAGAGAAGCAGGCCATGGTCATAATCCAGCCAAGCCCATCTGGAGCCCAGAATCTTCTGGAGGATTGGGTTCTATGAATGGTTGGTGAGTCCATAATTATCATGCTGGACAGCCTCAGAGATGCCAGCAGGCTCTGGGCAAAGCCAAACACCAGAGGGACCTCAAAGGTAACCAAGACCAAGTCTCCCTTTTACAGACAAGAAAACTGAAGCCAAGAGAGGGCATTACAGCAAGCTAGAGGCCGACAGACCAAGACAGTATTTATTCCACATAAACAAAAGCCATGAGCTGGGTCTGAGACAGGCTCCTGTCTGTTAGGGGAGTCTCAGTACTTCGGGGCTCTTTTCTTATGGCAAGTACTATGGTGCCCTTTAAACAATATCTTTACTCTTGATAACCATTTGCCACCACTACCTCTTCAAACCCTGAGGAGGTGAGAGTTCCCAGCCAGCAGAGATGCCTGAGAGGCTTGTAAGCAGGAGCATGGTGTTCAAGTCCAGCTTGGACTGAGCACAGAAGTTTCTGGGATCTCACTGCTGCCTCTAGGTGAAAAACAATCAGATGCTCCGGGCTTGGTGATCACTTGCTGTCCCCTGAAGCATCCCACATGTCCAGCCCCTCCTCCACTAGCTGGTCCTCAGGAGCCCATCCAGGATCAGGGACCAGAACCAGTTCAGGAGGGCCTGCCCATTCTGAAACCTCCCTCTGCTGGGTATCTCCACACAGAACCAGAGAAGGTCAAGATTTTCTCACAAAGTTTGCTTGTCGAACCAGGGCATCGTGAAGGCCAGGCCCCAGATGCAGGGATCTCAGACTGGACCCGCCAACAGGTGCCTAGCATGTCTGGGGCTCCCCTCCTGCCACAAGGCCTCAGAGAGGCTACATGCCAACTTTCGGGAACAAGACCTGAGGACGTAGAGAGAAGCCACCTGGCCTCTGAGCTGCTACAGCAAGGGCCACCTCAGAAGGAAGGCTGGGGCCAAGACAGGCTGGGGAGTGAGGAAGACGTGGATGAAGATATCACCATGGATGAATCATCCCAGGACTCCCCTCCCTCCCAGGCCTCCCTGACCCCTGGCAGGGCAGCCCCTCAGGCCGGCTCCGTCTCTGTCTCCCAGGAAACCACTAGCATGCCTGGGTTCCCAGCTGAGGGTTCCATCCCACTTCCTGCTGATTTCTTCTCCAAAGTCTCCACAGAAACCCAGGCCTCGCAGCCAGAAGGGCCTGGCATGGGGCCCATGGAGGAAGGGCACGAAGTTGCCCCTGAGTTCACGTTCCACGTGGAAATCAAAGCCAGCACGCCGAAGGAACAGGATTTGGAAGGGGCTACAGTGGTGGGGGCCCCTGGAGAGGAGAAAAAGGCCCAGGGCCCCTCTATGGGAAAGGGCACCAAAGAGGCTAGCCTTCTGGAACCACCTGACAAGCAACCTGCAGCCGGCCTGCCAGGAAGGCCAGTCAGTCGGGTTCCTCAACTTAAAGGTCTGTGGTTTAAGCTCCCTCACTCCTCCCCTGGTCCCCTCCAGGCTGTGGACACTGTCACAAGCTTCTGGCCTTGACTCCTGCACCCTGAGATTCCAGGATAACCACTAAACCCACGCCTGGGCCGACGTCCCCTCCCCAGCCCCTGCCCTCAGCCTCTGGTAGCTCTTGTTCCTTTCATGCTTGCCCTCGCCGTTGTGCATGTCACCAGCACCTGTGCTTTCTGCCCCAATCGGTTCTTTGCCACTTGATGCATCCACCATGGTCCACCAGCCCATGGGAGATTGGTAGGCATACTGCGTAGAGTGGATAACAGCATCACTCATTTTTGAGGGCTTATGATGTATATTGACATTCACAATCTGGAACATTCCCCAGCACTCTGATGTAGGCTTAAGTAGACCCACTTTGCAGATGAGGAAACTGAGCCTTGGAGCAGTAAATTGACCTTGTGCTAGACCTCCCGATTAAGTAATGGGTGGAGCCAAGTTCCATATCCAGCTAGGTCTGCTCTGAAAGGCACACCCTTGCTGTGGGTCCTACCCACATCATCTTCCAGAAGAGGCTGGAGCATGTCCTCCTGATGCAGAGACACTAAGTCCAACTGCCTGTCTTCTGATCAACAGACAGCTCTTCACATTTGAAAGGTGGAGGTGGCTAATGGCTCTCTCCTGATTGTAGCAGTAAAGCATCTTCCAGCTGCAAAGTGATCCTCCTCTCAGTCAGGGACAGGCAGGGTCCCTATGTGGAACCCCTTCTAGAGCACTCTGGAGCCTGCAGGATGGCAGGGACATTCGTTGCTTTAAGATACTAGGATACTTGGCATTTGGGCCTTCGAGATGGCTCAATGGGTAAAGCTACTTACCGCCAAACCTAATGATCTAAGTTCTATCCCGAAGACACACCCGGTGCAAAGACATACTGCATGCAAATAGAGGTTAGAGGACAGCTGTGGGAGTCAGTTCTCGGTTGTTCTCGGGCTTCCATACATGTGTGAAAGCATGCCTGTCTCTCTCTCTCTCTCTCTCTCTCTCTCTCTCTCTCTCACACACACACACACACACACACAGACACACAGACACAGAGACACACAGACACACACACGTCTTCTTGTACAATAAATAAATAAATGTAAGAATAGACTACTTGACATTTCAGGATTATTTTCAGGACCCAGAAACTGAAACCTCTTAAGCTCAGAGTCAAAATCATCTTTTAACTACTGATTAGACCCTACTTATAGGGAACACCCCAATATATCATAAATGAAAGAGCCTGTCGGGGTAGTGGCACAGCCTGCCATCCTAGTACTCCAGAGGTTAAGACAAAAGGAGCACTGCAAGTTTGAAGCCAACTTGGACTACATAGTGAGTTGAAGGCTAGCCTGGGCTACGTAGCAAGATCATAATATTTAAAAGAATCTGGGCATGATGCCACATGCCTTTAGAAGACAGGGATCAGGGGCTCAATACAAGACCCCACCACATAAGATCCTGTCTTAAAACAAAAGCTAAGGCAGAGGGAGGGGAAGCCTGTGTCTTGTTTCAAAATCCAAAACAAAGGAGAACAAATGAGTGCCTGAGTTGTTTTCTTAAGTAACCATCCTGTCCTTGTCTTCCAGATGTCAGCAGGCGTGTCTGGGATAAGGGGCAGGGAGGGCGTAGTTCCATGGCACAGTGAATTTAGAAGAGAAAAGTAAACAGGCCTAGCAGCGCTCAAGCCACTTCCACTGTTGTGGGCGTGTCAGGGCTCTTGCTGTGCTGTGCACAGGGAACCTCTAAGGAGGAGGCATCCGCAAATGTAGTTGATGCCGCCCGCTAACATCTCCTGGAACAGGACTTGTTGAGTCCTACCTGGATGCAGGAAATGCTGATCTAGCAGGCTGATTGGCAGTGACAACGGTGACAAGCAGGTTACTCCAGTGAAGTTGGCCAGCACAAAATAGTGGCCGAGTTTATTAGATACACAGCAGTACAGATGCAAAGGCGGAAACTCTGCACAGAGGCATGCCCAGGGACTGCTGCACCCTGGGCTTGGGTATTACTCTGACAGTCAGGTGTTCCGCTGTCACTGAGCCTGGGAACAGTCGCCGTTGCAGCTTTTGTGGTTAGTGACAGTCTAACCTCCAGGAAATAGTGGCCTTTCCCTGAGTCAGACATGGACTGGGACAACCATGTGTCTTAAACAGACACACAGGGTTGACAGAGGAAGGAATGCGCAAAAGCTCCTATTGGTTGCACACACATTTCCTGTTGGTTGCACACACAGCCTCCGTGCACCCGGAGTCTGCCTGCTCTGTCCCAGGTGATTCCTCCACAGTAAAACAGGGAGACCTCTGGGTTGGAGAGTCAGTGCTACTCACTCTATAAGTCCAGCCTTCTTCCACCTTCAGGAAGCCTCAGGTTACCACGGATTGGTTTCTGTGAGCAGCATGTGCTGTATTTGGAAGCTCCAGTAGTGGCAAGGCGCCCTCAGGGCTGGCTCAGAATAGGAAGGGCTCCTTTGAAAGCAGCTGAGGTATATTCCACAACAAAGATGAAGATATCCTCACTGGCCTCATCTATTCTGAGAGCAAATGACCTGGAATGGGGTTTGGGGTCGTCAGCATCAGATGGCCAAGAAGGCAGATCTAAGGAGCCTTCCTAGCACTCATCCAATTGGGCCTTGAGACCCTAGAGAGTAAGTGGGGACTTCACAAGGAAGCAAAGCCAAGCCTGGCCACAGTAAGAGAAATCCACCACCCTGACCCAGGGATTGAGCTGTAGCCTGGAGCGAGTGGAGTGAGGAGAGTGAGCTCCCCACAACCCTGTATCAAGCTGCACTTCTAACAGCACCTGCCGCTTTCCTCTGCATGTCCCCACCCTCGGCCAGCCTGCTTCCCTCTTACCAGGCTGCTCTGAGCAATGGCCCTGTGTGCTGTGTGACACTAATGATGGAAGACCTCGAACGTTTGAGGACTAACAAAAACCAGACAGTTTCAACCAAAGGAAATTCATACCACCACCCCTGAACTCCAGTGTTTCTGTGAACCATAAGCTCGGGGCATCACGTGCGCTCTCATTTTGTATTTTACCAGCTCGAGTGGCCGGTGTAAGCAAAGACAGGACTGGAAATGACGAGAAGAAAGCCAAGGTAAGCTACTGACCGGCCAGTCTCATTTGCCAAAAGGCTCTGCTTCCTGCCTGTGTTTGCTCTCACTGTAACGTGTGGAGAGTGTTTGTCACTAGAGTAAAACTGTCATCTAAAGGCCATTGCTTTTTTTTTTTTTTTTTTTTTTTTTTTTTAAAAGCGTTTGTTTTTTTTTTTATAATTAAAAAAAGGGTAAGTTAAAAGCCATTTTTTTTTTTTTTTTTTTTTTTTTTTTTTTTACAAAGGCAGTGTTTCTGTCTTGATACTTAACACAGGGAAGGGTAGTCAGCTGTACTCAGTTCCGCCCCAACACCTACCTCCTGCGATTCCCTCACAATTTAAATAAAGGTATGTGTAAAGTTTGGAGTTTGCACTTCTGACTCTTACCACTAGAGATCTAGGCTTAGGTTATTATACACAGCGTCCACTGGGGTCCACAGAGCTATGAGCGAGGAAAGAAGTGATTGCCAGACAAAGGCAGGGAGGATTCTGGGTGTGCTCTCAAAGAGGCGAGCTAGGAGGCACACAGGAGAGGAAGCGTCAGTGTATCAGAGCAGGGAACAGCAAGCCGAGGAAGGAGGAACAGACGGAGCAGCGTCTGGGGAAAATAGGCAGGTGGCCTTGGTTGTTGAGTTGTATGTGGGGCTGCCTTGGGTTCTGAATTAGCAGAGCCACCCTTAAAGGAACTCTGGAAAAGCATGGGTTAGAACGTGTGGTTCAGGGTAAGCCTTTGCCGGTCTTCTACAACCAACCCCAACAGATAAAGCAGCCTGCTCGCCACAGACCAGCCTCCCAAGCCCTGCCTGTCCTCATTTTTACATCTGTCACCCTCTCCCTTCACGCCTTTCTGTCTTAGAAAGCCCTGAGGCTGTATGTGCAGTGCTATTTTCCTGGAAAATCCCACCACAGCCCAGATTGGATCAACTGGACAGTTCCTATGATGCTGCCCAGAGCGTCTGGCCTGTCATTGGTGCCAGAGCTTCCGATAAGTCTCCAGATGTGGATGGTGCTAGCTGGGAAAGTCTGGAACAGAGGTCGAGGACCACTCCCTGAAGAGCCCGTTCTGTACTCATTAGGGCTTCCTGTCATAGCGCTCAGGAGACAGGCAGCCGAGCCTCCTCGCGCAGGGACTCAGCTCTGCCCCACTCCTTGAAGCAAGAGTGACAGCAGCTTGTCAGTCAAGGTGCTCCCTGAGTTCCAGAGTGAGGGGACGCGGAGTCCTGATCTCATGCTTGCACGGCATGCCTGTATTCATCATTCATGTGTTCACACGGTACACAGTCCTTGCCCTGCACTGACTCACAGGATAGCATGTGGCCAAACCTATTACAAACCTAGGCTGGGTAGAAGAAGCTTCCAGTACAGAGAGGGGTCTTGCCCAGGTAGGGAACAAGGGGCTCCAGTAACCACCCTGGCTTTCCTCCTGTGAAAACAGCCCCAGAGAGTCTGTCCCGTGGACTCTTCTCCTGGTGCTGGTGACACAGATTTGGCCCTGACCCCTTCAGTGGGAAGTTTGAGAGAATTAGGAAACACAGTGGAGTGTCTGTCTGGTCAGGACTCCAGAACTGCCTGCACTTGGCCTCTATATTCTGTTCTCTCCCTCCTTTGGGTTTTTTTGAGACAAGGTTGTTCTGTGTAGCCCTGGATATCCTGGAACTTGCTCTGTAGACCAGGCTGGCCCCAAATTCAGAGACCCACTTGCCTCTGCCTCCTAAGAACTGGAATTAAAGGCATGCACCACTACCACCTGGTTGGCCTCTCAGTTCTTAATTTCCAACAGTCTGGTCTCACACACTGCACCACACCAGGGCCATACTTCCCAGTCAGAGTGGCCAGAGGCAACCATGGTGTCAGCCTTCAGCCTTCTGGCTTGATCCTTCTCAGAAGACATCCAGCACACAGACACCTCTTTCCTTAGATGGAATATTCTGAAGTTAATTTTGCCCAGATCGAGATTCCATTGATGGCATTAATTATATTTGAGTCTTTGTTTAATCAGAAAATATGTGTGTATATGCATGTGCACATGTGTGTGTATTCTTGCACGTGTGTGTGTATGTGTGTGAGCGTGTGAGCACATATGCTCACCGATGCATGTGTATGTATGTGTGTATATGTGCAGGTGTGTGTGGCACGTGGTATATATGTGAGTGTGGCATGTGGTGTGTGTGTGTGTGTGTTTGTGTGTGTGTCCGTCTTTGGCTGCATCTGGCAGAAGGTTTTGGTTGACTCTGGCACAATCCTCCTTGAAGTATTAGGATTTTGTTGGCATAGTGGAGAGAGAGAGTGGGTATCAGTGAGCCTGCATGAGCGCTTCCCCTGAGGTTGAGCCTCCAACCCATGACACGTTAACATTCTTTCTTGAGACAATCTTGCTGCCTTTTTTTCTGATGGTCTCCGTGTGCTTAGGAAGGTGGGAAGCACCTTTAGGCCAGTGTTCTCCAAGTTGGAGCTACAGCAAGGTCCGATTGCTAGAGAAAGAATATGTCTACCAGTGCTTCAGCAGCTCTCTTGGAAGTTCTACACTATGCGATTTTAATTATGTCCATCCCATGTCAGCTGTGTGGCATGTGTGTAGCTGATGGGTGACCTGGTGCTGAAGGGGACGGAGTTGCCGTCCTTTCTTACTGGAAGGGCGGTGGAGAGGGCTATTTTGAGTGACTTGCCTTCTTTGTGTTTAGATTTTGTTCATCCTTTTCCCCTTTGTTTCCATCCCCCTGTGTGCTGACTTTCATTTTGATTTTATTTGTTTATGTTTAAGACATCCACACCTTCCAGTGCTAAAACCCCGAGCAATAGGCCCTGCCTTAGCCCCACACGCCCCACTCCTGGTAGCTCAGACCCTTTGATCAAACCCTCCAGCCCTGCCGTGTGCCCTGAGCCAGCCACCTCTCCTAAACACGTCTCTTCTGTCACACCCCGAAATGGCAGTCCTGGAACAAAGCAGATGAAACTCAAGGTAAGGAAACCACCTTGGGTAAAACCCAGGCTGCTGTACCGTGGTGTTCACTTGCTTTCTTCAGCTAAACTCACAGGCTACACGGTTGAAGGGACAGGGAGAGCACGGGAGACTCTGAGCTGTGCTTCTTACCTCCCTCTTCCCTGGAGACAGCAATCCCCAAGATAACCAGGGGAATCCATCCCAGTTTGTCAGTTAAGGCTCTGAGCTGAGTGTGCACCTGATGCCTTTAAGCAATCCCAGCACTGAACGTGATTCCTGTAAGTCTGAAGCTAGCTTGAGCTACTGAGCGAGCTCCAGGCTAGCCTGGGCTACAGAGTGAGTGAGCTTATTCTAGCTTGAGAAATAAAAAGAAGCCAGGTGTGGTGATGCTGATAATTTCAGCACCCTGGAGTAAGAGGCAGGGGAGTCACTGCAATTGCCTAGACGGCCAGTAATATATAGAAAGACTCTTCCTCTTAAAAATAAATAGATAAATAAATGATAAAGAAAGCCTCAGCTCCGTCTAGAGTTCTTATGGTGACTGACCACGCCTCGTGGTGGGTGGCATGGCCTCCAGCTGTGCCCATCCCAACAGTTCCTCCTCTCCTCCCTTCTTCCCCAGTCTGTGGCTCATTTGGTTTCTTTGTGTGGTTCATGCCACGTCTAATGGCTGTCTACTGACCATCAGACTCACAACCACTCACAGTCAGCTGACCGTGTGTGCTCTGCCTCTAGCTCCCAGCTTTCAGCCAGTGTTCATGGCCATGGGTTCGAGGCACACCTAAGGAGTCACGGAGCCCCCAGGGGCTGTGGAGAGAGCAGAAAAAGACATGGTTTGGCCATTTGTGTGATCTGCTGAGGCCTGAAGCACATGTGGGTCCCCAAGGACCTCTGGTGAACCCAGCCTCCATCGGTCAGCCACATCTATAATTAAGAGTCTGGAAAATGGGTGTCCATCCACCAGGTGTGGTCTTCCAGGGTCAGCCTACCTGATCTGCCCTGACCCTGCTCTTGCTTCCAGGGTCAGCCTACCTGATCTGCCCTGACCCTGCTCTTGCTTCAAGCAGTACTGTCATTTATAACACGGGCTAGCTCACCATTCATCTAGCAGGATCCTGGTGCTAGATATGCAGGTGAACTGTGGGCTGTGTGCTCTACAAACCCCGTACCAGACCTTCCCAGCATCTATGTCCACCGTCACCTTCTTCAGTCAAGGTGGGAGGGTGGGGTTGACTTTTCCTTGGTGACAGTCACCTTTCCCAGTGGTGAAAAACCTTCCACCCTGATTCGGTTTACAGAGCGCTGATGGCAAAACCGGGGCGAAGACCGCCACACCTCGGGGAGCAGCCACTCCGGGCCAGAAAGGCACATCCAACGCCACCAGGATCCCAGCCAAGACCACGCCCAGCCCAAAGACTCCTCCCGGGTCAGGTGAGAATGCTCTCTGTTGTCTTAATCCAGAAGCTTCCAGAAAGTATAACCCTTGCCTCAGGAGGCCACCGACAATTAGTAACCCCTGGCACTGACTAACCTTTGTGATTTGCTGAGCGCTAGAGCATTTGTCTTCTTTTTAATCCTTTGACAATTGTCTGAGGTGGTTAATGAGTCCTCGCCTTTTAATCAGTGAAGAAATCTTGCTCGTTTTACAAGCATGAGGAAAATGAAGTCACGTGGTTAATAAATTGTGGGGAAGGAGCATAACCTTTAATCCACGGCTCTGGGGAGGCAGCCCCAGCATAAAATGTTATCAGGTCCCCCACCTCTTTGGAGGATCAGTAGTCTGGGCAAGAAATCATGGGGGGGGGGCGTTCTCCAACCTCACACAGCTAGGGTGTTAGGAACCTTCTAGTAAAGCTCAAGGGTCTTAGCTGAGTGATAAAATTCTGTGATCATTACTCTGGCCTTCTGTGAACAAAAGCCACTTGGCATTGAGAACCCGGCCAGGCTACAGTGGGGCTGTTTCATGTCCAGTAGAGAGAGCAGGAATAGAAGCCCCGAAGACCTGCTCCCAAAAGGGTTTTGGATGCCATGTGACTCTGTTGCCTGGCCTTCATTGCTCCCTGGTGGTGCCCAGGAGGCCTGTGGCTCTCTGTGTCTGGCTTGGCCGTTGGTGACCCTGTTCTCTTGGCAGAAGCAACCTGTATTGCCCGCTGCATGCTTCTGCTTGGCACTGTGAAGGGTGTTGCCTGAGAGTTGGGCTGTTTTCCCTAAGTAGCTTGGATCTGGGGGAAAGGGGGTGTTTCTCATACACTGATGATCTGGGAACATTAGTGATGTGTTAAGTGAGTTTCTCTTCTGATACTTCTCCCTTAACCCTGTGCTGCCTGGAGCAGGGGCTCTTCCAGGCTCGCCTGTGCTTGGGTGGCTCCATGCTGATTGGCTCGATCTTCTCACTGGTCCTGGCATCTGTCCCTGCTTGTCTCTTATGCTAGGTGAACCAGCCAGATGCTGCCACCTGAAGTACTCACAGAGTCTCCTGTGAGCCTGATTATAATGAGGCTGTCTGTGGATTTTTTTTTTCTTCTTTTTAAGCTTCCAAGCAACCACAGAGAAAACTACCCCCTGCAGGGGCAAAATCTGAGAGAGGTAATTCTGGGTCCATTGCCTGGAATGGGTGGGCAGACCCTCTTGGTGTGTGTACTGCCCTCATGCTTGTCTGCAAAGCTGGGAGGGAGTACTGCTTCAGCCCAGGCTACCCCAGAGAGGCCCAGTCTCGAACCTACTTCTCAAGTGCAGTTTGCACTGGGGCATTTATGGACTACATCCTGTGTGTTCAGATTTACTTTGGGAACTAGGGCTGTTTGTGGGATGGACATCACGTGTCTGGAGACATTTGGGAGTGTGGGAGGTTTGGACCATCTCTAACCTAAGTCCCAGTGGGGAAATGTCACCGATAGGCAGAGGGTTTTGCTGGGCTGAGATTTTTTTGGTTTGTTTGTCAAGAAATGGCTTCATATCTAGAGGTGGCAGTGCGTGCCTTTAATCCCAGCATTTGAGTGGCAGAGGCAAATGGATCTTTGAGTTTGACGTCAGCCTGGTCTACAGAATGAATTCCAAGTCAACCAGGGCTACACACTAAAACCCTGTCCAAAAAAAAACAAAACAACAACAAAAAAGGGATCTCACTCTATTTGCCAAGACTGGTTTTTTTTTTTTGCTCGAATAATCCTGCTTCAGCCTCCCAAACAACTGGAACTGTAGAAGCATGTCACCACACCTGACTTTTTCTGCATTTAGCGAGTGCTCAGGCAGCTAACGGATGCTGTGCTGGACCCTTTGTGACCTCTTGATTGATTTATTCTTTATTTTATTCGTATGGATGTTTGCCGGGTGCCCACAGAAGCCAGACAGAGGTTTCACATCCCCCAGAACTGGAGTTACACAGTTCAGAGCCACCATGTGGGTGCTGAGAATGGAACCTGAGTCTTCTGGATGTTCAGCCAGTGCTCTTAACTGCTGAGCGATCTCTCTAACCCCCAGATACCCTTCTCATAGCAAAATCTTGAGGACTCTGAACCCCCATCTTTCAGATGAGGACACAGGCGTAGATGGGTCACTGGCTCAACCAAGGTTACTTTGCAAGTGTCAGGGAAAGGACACAAGACACTACTACCCTGTGTCCCTGGGGACATGGAGGCAAAGCTAAGCCCAGAGTAGCAGCAGCTCTTCATACCTCCGAGCTTGATGGCTTTAGGGGTTCCTGAGAAGCGAGAGGCTGGAGCTGAATGCTGATGCTTTGAGGGAGATGGGCTGCAGTGAGCCTGTTTGCTATGACACTTCTTGCTGTGGCTTGTGAAGCTTGAGAAAGTCCAGTTTTGCAGGCCCAGTGCCTCTGTCACATCTGGCTCTATCAGATCTGGATGGGGGGGGGGGAAGGCTCCGAAATTTGCATACCACAAGTCCCACCTCCTGCTAAGAACATCAGTGGTTTTCAAACACAAAACAAAAACCCCATGGGGTGTGGTGACTCTGAGAACTCTAGGTGTGTCAGACCTGCCGAGGGTACTGTCCAGGAAGCAAGTGGAGGTGAAGGATACAGGGTGGGACAGAGTCTGGTGAGAAGTCCAGGCAGCTTTCCTGGAAGCTGATGTGTCTAGAAAGGTGCAAGGGGGAGGTCATTCTGTGCTTCAGGGATGTGGGCTGTGGCTGTGCAGAATGCTCTGGGCAGGTGCAATGTGGGCTGTGGCTGTGCAGAATGCTCTGGGCAGGTGATTTGAACTCTCTTCTGCAGCCCCAGTTAGAGGAGCTCTGGGGGAAGGGTCAGGGGATCCCAGTCTGAAGAGTGCCAGTGGGGCCCGGTCATTATACCACCTCTCAGTTAAGGGAAAGGACAGGCAGAAGTGTTTGTGGAATGGTACCCAAACACTTTTTTTTTTCTAAAGTGAGTGACACATAGCTAGCTAGAACCTATCTCCTGACTTCAGGACACTTCAGGGACTGGGGAGAGTTAGACCACCCCTGGGAGGAGGTATGTCATATATTGTGGCACTGATGAGAATTGAGTTGCTTTATTGAGAAATAGCTGTCATTGTATCTAAGTGACAGGGCAGGAGCGATGCTTCTGTACAAATGGTCATCATGGTCTTCTCCCAGATCCCACTCTGGATCCAGTCCAGTGGCCTCAGGGACTTTGCAGACATCGCCCCATCCCCCACTCGCCCACGTGGCCTCAGTCTCTTCCTCTCTTCCCCACGCTCCAGGTGAACCACCAAAATCTGGAGAACGAAGCGGCTACAGCAGCCCCGGCTCTCCCGGAACCCCCGGCAGTCGCTCCCGCACCCCATCCCTACCAACGCCGCCCACCCGAGAGCCCAAGAAAGTGGCAGTGGTCCGCACTCCCCCTAAGTCACCATCTGCCAGTAAGAGCCGCCTGCAGACTGCCCCTGTGCCCATGCCCATGCCAGACCTAAAGAACGTCAGGTCCAAGATTGGCTCCACTGAGAACCTGAAGCACCAGCCCGGAGGCGGCAAGGTAAGGGCGTGGCCGGCCTCGCGGGAAGCCAGCCCAGGCGGGTAGCTCCCACTCTAGCCAGACTTGCTCCCCCACCCCCACCCCCACCCCACACAGCACACAGGCCACCAAAACACTGGCTCCTCTCTTTAGCCTTGCTAATTGGACAGGTGACAGGCACTTGTCTACGGAGACCCACCTATGGTGCTGGGTGCCACCCTTGTTGGGCTTGGCTTTCGCCCTTGGGTCTGGGGAAAAATGAAGGTTTTAATAAGAGCAGCTGGTTCTACAGCTGTCATGACCT